TTAGGATAGATTATGTGTTGTAATAATTTTTTTAATGTTATACTCTAATTATCATTTGACAATAATGATAATTTTTTTTGATAGTTTTAAAATTTTTATATTTTATTCTTAGATTGTGTTGTTATTTTCTCTATGCCCTTTTTTTTAAAATAAAAAAAATTGTTATGTATGAGGTTTGTAAATATCCATTATATGTTTAAGATTTTTTTACTTAGAAAATAACGATATTGAAAAATTGTCAAGTGAATATTTTCACACAAACATAAAAACATTACAAAAAGAAAAAGAAAATTCCAACTCACAATTTCCAAACAATATAGATGGTAAAAAATAAAATAATAGATTTTAACTTATTTTCAAATAGCATAGACAATAAATTAAATTAAACAAAAAAAGAAGAAAAAAAAGAAAAGAATAACAACCTTTTAAAAAGAGGAGAAGAAACCAACCAATCACAATAGCTAAGCCCAAATGGGCATCACGTGGTTGTAGGGTCAAATTCAGAAATAACAAACCATCGCGTGAAATACAAGCTATACAAAAAGCGATTGAGATTTGAACAACAGTTGTTGAATAATGAATATTGATATCCATGAGAGAGAGAAAAAAAACCAAAATCAAATTCGATGCATTGAAGATGACAACATCCACATGGCTTAGTTTCGACCTAGTGAATAAAATCATGCCACCTAAGCAAATCCGAATCTCAATGATGCTTATGTGACACGTGGACATCATCAAATCACACCGTTGGTGTAGAAAAAAAAACAAGATAAAGAAAAATATCCCAAGAATATTATTTAATAATAATATTTGTAGTTGTTTTTCTTTTACTAAGCTGTGGTGTGTGGGGCCATAGAGTATTTGGGAGATTAATACAACACCACACAAAAACAAAAACTTGTTGTTCCCTTGATACTAGACACCTGTCATCAAGGGTTACCACAAAGTCATTTTCTTCCTCTCCTCATCATTTTGCTTCTTCTTACATTTATTTTTTAGAAATTTTAAAATGAATAATATATTAAATTTTTGAATTGAATATTGTGTGGCCATAGGTAGGTTTCATTTTCCGTACAAAATATGATGTCATTTTGTGTTGTTTTTTCAATTTATAGGAGATCTAGGTATTTCGGAATTTAATTGATAAATAAATTAAAAAATTATTTTACTCAAAATGTAAATGGATTTTCTCAAATTAATCTTCAGTGGGAACAATTGATTGGAAGTTTAATATTTCATAATTTATTGCTATTGGCCAATTCTATTAATTAATTAATAATTTTTTGTTGTGAATTTAATCATCACAATCCAACCATTAAAATTTTGACAATTAACTTACTATACCAAAAAGGAAAACAAATAGATTTATAATTTGATGAGGTTGAACTTGATCATTTAATAATATTAAAATTAAAAAAAAAGATTATACGGTATAGTTTTTTTCAATAAAAAAATGAGTTTAATTAGTATTCACTGACAGTATAAAATAATTTTATATTATTATTTAATAAAAATTTATTAATTTATCATATCATACGATTAATTTAAAATTTACAGTCTAATTTGACGAGATATATGATGGTGATCGGTTGATAATATAAAATTATTTTATATTATCGATGAATATTTTATTTTCTCTATAAAAAATTACATTTAAAAAATATAATATTTCCTTTTCTTTTTATAAGTTAACAATTAAAATTTTAATAGAGATAACTGACATACATATAGAAATTTTGTTTTTCTTATAAATGAAATATGCACTATTAACCAATAAAAAACAAACAAGCTCAATTTTATATTTTAAAGCAATTAAGTAGGTGTAGCCCAAATTTGCAGTGATGATAACTACTACTAGATAAGACCTTCCCGTTAATGCAGGATCATATACATTGCACCTATGATGCCTTTATTTATTTGACATATTTTCACTCTTTTTATATTACTTCTGTATGGGTTTTCTATTTTATTTTTTCATTCATCATTTATAGCATGTACAAATTTTAGTTCTTATATCTATCTTATGATTAGTGTTTTTGATAATATTATCTCTCTTATAATTAAGAGTATATGCTTATTTTTTGGCTAACGAGTCACTATCCCTTGTCGACAAAGTTGGGGCATCTTATAAATAATACAATCTAGATAGAGTTTTCTTTTTATAACAACTAAAGTTGGTCCTCTCAAAAACAAAACAAAACAAAAATTAAAGTTACTTCAATGGAGTGTCTCTTAATTTTTTCATTTGCATCTTCAAATAGATTAGTATTGTGTTAATGTTATGTTTTAAACTTTCTTTTATCACTTAATTTTTATTTATTTTTAAATTGATAATCCTCTACCTGCAATGTAGAGATTAATTCTTTGGGACAAAACAAAATTACAACGATTAGCAAATCTCTTTAAAATATTTTAATATTGTTGCGGATTTAAAATTAAATTCAAATTTATAATATTTGATTAACTTGGAAAAAATATATGAATTTGTATTTTTTTTATTAACTTTAAAACTATAATAATTGATATCATTTCTTTTAAGAAAGATGAGATGATCATTAATAGTACAACATGAAAAATATTGAATCGATGTAAGATTATAATAATATGGAAAATGTTAAATGAGAGTTGCATAAGTTTTATATTATTTGAAAAAGTGAAGGTAGAATATTTTATAAAGGAGACGATTCATATACTCATCATCTTAAGATTTTGGATGAATATGTGATGTGTCTCTCATTTGTTTGGATGAGTTTCTGAATTTTAGGTGAATATTTAATCAAATGTGGATGCTTCCTCTCATGATGACTCAAATTTAGTATTAAAGTCTGGTTCGTGTAAGAGACTGACTCCTTGTATCGAAAGTTTTCTTGACATAGTGGTGGTTAGGCGGCGTGTCTTATTAAAGTGTTAGTGATGTGGTAAAGGGTGTTTGTCAAAGACGATAAAAGTATGTGGATGAAAAAACTTATACTTTAGGGAAAGCATATTGGATGGACTCACACTTGAAGGGGAGATTGTTGAGAAAAAATGTGAGTTGTATAAGTCTCACATTGATTGAAAAAGTGAAGGTCGAACACTTTATAAGTGAGAGAATCATACACCATTTGTCTTAAGATTTTGGGTGAATATATGGTGTCTCTCACACCTATTTGGAGTGAGTTTTTAACCTTTAGGTTAATGTTTGACCCAATGTGAATGTTCTCTCTCTTGATGACCTAATAGTAGTATCAAAATCTGGTTCGAGCAAGGGACTAATTCCTTGTATCAAAAATCTTCTTGACATGGTGGTGATCATGTGACATGTCCATTTGAAGTGTCAGTGGCGTGGTAAAGAATGTGTTAACATTGGTACAAGTATGTAGACGAAAGAGCTTCTAATTGATGAGGGGATTGTTGAGAAACAAGTGTGAATTGTATAAGCCTCATATTACTCGGAAAAATGGAGGTTGAACACTTTATAAGATGACTCATACATTCACTGCCATAAGATTTTTAATGAATATGTGGTCTCTCTCTCTCTCTCTCTCTCTCTCTCTCTCTCTCTCTCTCTCTCTCTCTCTCTCTCGTTTGGTGATGAGCCTTTAACCTTTAGGTAAATCTTTAAGACAATGTGGATTCTTTCTCCTCATGATGACCCAATACTAGTTTCAGAGTCTGATTCGAGTAAGAGACTGAATCCTTGTATCAAAAGTCTTCATGATATAGTGGTGGTTAGGGGACGTGCCTCGTTGAAGTGTTTATGACGTAATAAAAAGTGTCTGGATATAAGTATGTGGGTGAAATAACTTACAATTTAGGGAGAGTATTGTGAATATATTTACACTTGAGAAAAAAATTATTGAAAAACATGTATAAATTATATAAATCTCAAATTATTTAAAAAAAATAGAGATGAACATTCTATAAATAAGAAAATCTATACATGCATCAATTGTCTTAAACTTTTAAGTAAATATGAAACATCCCTCCCATTTATTTGAACGAGTCCTCCTCACAATGATCCAATAAATTTCTTTTTCCTACAAAGTTATGACATTTGAAAATTGAAATATATGATAAAATGATACTCCTCAAATTATTGACATGTGTAGTGTGTTGCTCTTGAATTATTGTTTTCACGTGTATATATATAAGCAAAGTCGTGATTTTTTTTTCTTTCTAATTCTTTATCAATCAATTTTAAAATTTGTAACATGTGAATTTGCTTGTGTATTAGATTTACCTAGAGTTATATTCATACAATAATAAAAAACTATCTTAATTTCAATTTTGATTCACGGAACTTAATTATTTATTTAAATTTTACAAAATTTTAATTCTCAAATTTTTGTATTAAAAAATCTTATTTTTTAAATTATGTGAGTCTTTCACAAAAAATGTCTAAACAATTATTTGTCATATTTTATAATTGACATGTTATTTAAAAATAACATATTATTAATATAAGTATAAAAAAAATTAAAATTTGTCTGAACTTAAATCAAGAAAATTAATTTTATGAATTAGTTAGAATAAAGAGAAAAAAATATCAATTAAGCTTACAAAAAATTTAAATTTAAACTTGATAAAAATGTTTATGTATTTTTCTTTTCTCTTTTTATCAATTAAACAAGGAGTAAAGAATGCATGAACAAGATTATTTTAATATAGTTTTTGTGATTTTTAAATTTTTTTAAAATATTAAATTGTATTTTACTATTTTTTTAATGATTAAAATTAAATTAATTTAAATGTTTATTATTTTTATTTTATAATATTTTTATAAAATTAAATTTTTTTAAAAAATGTTGATAAGCTCTCATCTTAAAATAATATTTTGTTTATAAATATCAGAAAGAAGCATCTACTTTCCCTTCTCTTTTCTTCCTTCTTACCCATTCTTCATACAAATCAAACCATCACAAGAGAGAGAAAAAAAACGAAAATTTGGCAGACAAAGAAAAAAAAAACAAAAATTAGCGAAAAAAGAAAACCAGAAGACTCTCTGATCAAAGAAAATGAGGAAAAACTGCGAACTCTGCAAACTTCCGGCTAGAACTTTCTGCGAGTCCGACCAGGCTAGCTTATGCTGGGACTGCGATTCTAAGATCCACAGTGCAAATTTCCTTGTTGCCAGACACGTGAGGACTCTCCTCTGTCACCGGTGCCAGTCTCCGACGCCGTGGAAAGCCTCCGGTGCTAGGCTTAGTAACGCGCTTTCTTTGTGCGAAACGTGCGCTCGCGGTGGTGGTGGGAGAAAATTGGAAGGTGAACAGGAGGAAGAGAGTGAAGGTGAGAATGAGGAGGACGATGAGGTTGATACTGATTTTGATGAGGAAGAGGAGGAGGAAGATGAGGTTGATGGTGATGAGGATGGTGATAATCAGGTTGTTCCTTGGTCGTCTACGGCGGCGCCGCCTCCGGCTTCGAGTTCCTCCGGTAGCGAAGAGTCGGTTAGTAAGTGTAACGATAACGATGACGAGGTTGTTTCAAAGTTAGTTACAACAAACTTTATTTCCTTGAAACGAGGTCGTGAGGAGGATCGTGATTTTCAGGTAATATTTTTTTTTTCAATTTTCTTCTGCATCTTTTTATTAATGTTTGTTATTTTTCGTTAATGTGTTGATTTTTGTGTTTCAGGCTTCAGATTCGAAAATTTGCGTAAATCAACGTAGGTACGGTGCTGAGAGGAGGAGATACGACGGAGAGTCCTCGTCGAAGGCGTCGATCCGGCAAGAAACTGACGGAAAAGGACCGGAGAATTCTCAGCCGCACGATTGATGAGTCCGTACAATAAGGGATATTATTTTATTTGTGATCTCTTTGATTAACTTTCGCTAACGAAACTCCTTAGATTTTTATTATGTAATATGCATTAGTTTATTTATTTTTTTGTTTATTTTGTAATGATATTTTGAGGATTATGGTTGTGATTAATTAGTTTTCTTTTTTTGTTTTGCAAAAGTAATATTTTTTCTGTTTATATAATTATGTAAGGACGAAGAGAAAAAAAAAATTAGATTATGAAATTTAATGTATATTTATTCTGGTGCATTGTTAATGTACATGTGTTTTTTTATCAATTAGAAAGAAATTTAAGTTAAGCAATTAAATAAAGACTTTGCATCAATCTAAACCATGTGTTTTTTTAAAGCACATTTATGACATGTGATTAGGTAAAATGGAAATAATTTAGACAAAGTTATTCATTTAATTTCTTCACTTTATTCATGGTGTAGCATTGGTTACTATTTATAAATAAAATTTGAATATGAAAACTTGAATATAAGATTTGGAGTGACAACAATTATGATAAGTAATTGGTTGGTTGAAACGTAGTTCATTTGGTGTCTACAGCAACTGTTTTAAACCAAGAAAAGATAGAAACGTGTCAAAAAAATTCATCACTAGTGGTTAGACACATTATGTAACTTGTGGTTCTGAATAGCAAAGGTTGTTTCTCTTTCATTCATTCAAGATTTCAAGGTATATGAGGAAAGTGCTTTGATGAAGAGGTTATGATAGGGGCTAAAACTAGTCATGTGTTATTGCCAACTATCAACAACCAAGTAAATTGTACTTGAGTTTCTTGTTAAGAAAAACAAACATGTTAGTTTAAGAAAGTAACGGGAACCTTCCAATTCTAATTAATTACACCATGTTTATTTTATGAGCAACGTTTTTGAAATCTCACCAAATTTTTAGGTATGTAGTTTAATGTATGCTGTCACCACCCTATGTAGCTGAACATTGTTAATGTCCTAAAGTATTGTTTTGCCACATTTTAATGTGCTCTAATAGGTTAGTGATTAGGTATATATTTATAACAAACAATTCACCTATCTATTTATTGAATTATCATTTCTATAAGTTAGATATATTAATTATTTTTTATAAAAGTAATTTTATGAAGTAAATATCTTTAAATTAGATAGTTTTAACAAATTAAGTTTTAAAACTTTTCTAAAACTAACTTTGTTATTTTATTTTACAAACACATACTTTTTTTAACATAACAATGCTTAAAAAAGTTATCTGACATTGATAAAATTAAAATTTAATCTACTTCATTCTTATACGTCTAATACCATTGAGTTTGACACAAATATAAATGATATATGATACAATACAGTTATATAATTCATTCTTATACGTCTAATTAGTTGGATTAGTACTATTATCATTATATAAAATACAGTTATTAGTTAATTAATACATACATTAATTAATATAAAGTTTGATTCGCCTTGCATGAGGATCATTATCCTTTGAATGAATTGTTGGAACAAATCATGACTTGGCGTGGCCGGCCATCACATCAAGTGAACATGTGAATGTTCTTATAAAAAAATATCTCCTAATACCATATTTAAAAAATTAAACCTTATAATAAATTAATATTAATTGAAAAAAAAAGTCATACTAGGCTAATAAAGCTAAATATTTTAAGAGCCACAAGAAGAAGTTGTGGCTGAGAAAGATTGTCCAATAAAACCATTTACCAACCAACCATTTGAATTTAGAATCACGCATAGTTTAATCAGATATTTTGAAGTGGTAATTATATTTTAAGAGGTGTATTATACTATATTAAATTATTAATCAAGAAACCCTTCAGTTGATACATGATAAAATAATAACTCTTGTCAACTTAGAAGAAAATAAAACAAAAACTATATAATAAAATGGAATGAAATGTGTGGTTGTAATCTTGTGGTGTATAATTGTATGGTGTGCATGTGGTGTGTGGTATTTGTTGATTTTATTTATCATTTGAGTACTGTCAATTGAGGGTGATTGAGCATCGATTTTTTACTTGTTGTTTGAGGCATCGTACTACCAATGACCTTATGGGCTTGAAAACGACACGACCTTGGAATTTTTTTCTGACTAAATTCTATGTATTCGTCGTGGTTGAGTATAAAGATTAGTTTCTTACTTGATACTTCTTTTGTTTGTTTTTGGAGACATTCAAAGTTTTGTGTGTAGGATGGAGGAGGAGTTAGTGGTCTATTTTGAATTTTGAAAAATGTTGCGTCTTTCTTCTTTGTTTTGACTTCTTCTAAGGAAAAAAGTCTATCAAGTTGAAAATATGAATATAAGCTAATCAAATAAAGGTGATGTTGTATATGACTCATCGGTAGTGTCAAGAAAGGAGAGGGCGGTCAAGTGGAGCTAGCGGGAAGAGTGCATTTGTTTTGACTTATTCTAAGAAAAAAAGTCTATCAAATTGAAAATATGAATATAAGTTCATGTTGTATATGACTCATCTGTAGTGTCAAGAAAGGAGGGGGCGACTAAGTGAAGCTAGCGGGAAGAGTGTATTTGTTGAAAGTATAATTTTTGTGCCAAAACAGTATTTTTGACAAAGTCTGTTGTCGTTGAAATGTTGTGTGTTGAAATGTCGAAGTGTATCTCGACAGTGCTTTATGACTTAACTTTACTTTGTTTGTTAAGTTGAGTTAGTCAGGTTAGTTATGGTTGCTGGTGTGTAAGCAAACTCAACCTATAAGAGAGTAACCATATTATTGATTGTAACTTGTAAGACAACACAGAAGTGCAGTTGTACAGTTGAATAGAAAATCTCAGTTTGAGAGCAGAGAAAAACTTTACAGAATTCACAACTCTTCTTCTTCCCCTTTCACGCTGAAACCCTAATTATCTTTCTTCCCCAATTCAATTTTCTTCTTTCATTATAATTGTGCAGCGCTACAATCTTGCAACCAAGGTTGGTTGATTAACTCGAGTAAAGAGTGAAGAACAAGAGAGATAATAAATAAAAAAGATTGATTCCTGTTCATCAAGATTTGGTTCAAAATTCATCAATTTTTGGTGAAATTCCACATTAGGAATTCAGTTTAATTCCAACATCTATGTGTGTTCTGTTATTATTTATTTGCTTCTGTTATTATTTCACTGTAACTTATAATCAGAATATGAACATGGTTTAGAATATGAACTCTGTTCAGAAGCAAAGTAAAAATAGATTACACAATTCAACCTCCCCTTCTTGTGTATTTTTCTCATCTTCAATTGGTATCAGAGACTGGTATGTATATAAAACTTAACAGTGGTGCAGATAATGATCCAATGAGAAAAATATGTTTGCTAAAGACTTTCTCTCAAGAAGGAATCAAGTAACATGTAAAAATATTACTTTGTCAATTCTCTCATATTCAGTGATGACTTCGCTGAATTTAAATCATGAAAAAAGCAAAGCATATTTGGTCTTGATAAAAGGGTTTTGTTGAAGGTCTATGGAACACCCTTGAGAAAGGTATTACTATAGAAGTTGATGGTGTAAAGATTATCAAAGATAGAAAATCTCTTACATCATCTTAGAAGAAGCTTTACAAGAATCATCTTGGGGTTAGTAGCATTCTGGTAGATACTCTACCTCATTATGAGTATATCAACATCATTGATATGTCTACTGCTAAGACAATCTTTGAATCCTTGCATTCTAAATTTGAAGGAAATCAGTTAGAAGCTTATCTAGTTACACTTCATCTAATCTTTCCAAGCAAATTCTGAGAAGTCTACCTGCTAGGTTCAGACCAAAAGTCACAACTATTCAAGAAGTCAAAAACTTGAGTATGTTGAGTCTTGAAAGTTTGATTAGCAATCTTAAAAGTAAAGAAATAGAATTAGATGAAGAAAAGCTATCGAAGAGATCAACCTTCCTTAAGCATGTTGAATAAAATTCCTATGGAATGATTGATGATGTGGAATTTTCCTTTCTTATCGAAAGATTCTTTCAGCTGGCTAAATGGAGTGTGATATACGTTGATGGAAGAGTAACTTTAGAAGCTTCTGAAATATTCATATCTCAAGTGATTATCCCAATCTTATGAACAAGGAGAAAAGCTACCAGACAGAAAAACCCATAAAGAAAATGTCAGAGATGTTCGAAGCATATTCTAATGAAGCTGACAAAGTTGAGGATTCAGAATCCGATGAAAAGTGTAATCTGGTACTACTGGCCATTACATTTTATGAAGAAGCATATGAATCTAGGAATAAATCAAATATTGAAGAGAAAAAAAGTAATTTCTAACCTATCTTGCTTCAATATTGATAATAAGGAGTCAGCTTCTCAAGATAAAATCTTAAGTGACTCCACTGCTCCTAAGGAAATTGAAGGCTATCATAGAATTTGTGTTAAAGGACAATTCTGTGAGAAACCTTTCATTTCTTCTTTTGTTTTCTAGAAATACTAAGACTGTGCTAAAAACTTATTTTATGCTAACCTCTGATAGTAAACACTATTTGTTTCTATTCTAGTTAGAAATTTCAAAATCAAGGATTATGAAGTCAAAACATTTTGTTAAGTGCCATAAATCATCCTAGACTCTATTCTGGAATGAATCTTGGTACTACTATCAGACTAAGGCATGATGTAAAAGAAAGCCTGTCATGACTAACATTTCTGGACTCACAGAAATATGGGTATCAAAATCTTAAATTGTATTTACTTCAGGTATCACAGAAGAAATGAGCAAGGCATCTTCCACGACACTTGATCAATGGTTGCTTACAAACTGTGATGGAATAGAATGCAAAAAGTATGGAGTTTGGAAAAGAAAGTGGATCATTGGTTTAATTGCTATTGACTCAGAATCCACTTGAAGACAAGATTTAGATTCCATGGTCAAATCTGAATACTTACCCGAAGCCTGATCAAGACAAACTAAAAAAATATATGTTCAGTTCTTTACTCTAACAAACTTTTTAACTAAATGAACTATTTAAGTATGAGTGAATACAAAGTATCTGTTAGA